GAGGGTATAAATTGGGCTTGTATTCTTGTTAGAAACTTGACAATGAAAAAAGATTGAATGAATCAGGGAAAAAAGAGATTGATTTCTTTCTTTGCTCCTCTGTACATATTACGTAACTATTAAAGGAGAAATATTAGTATATAATTTTTAGATTTGGATTAAACATAAAATATAATTATTTTAAAATTTGCACATACAAAAAGAATCTCTAAAAATTAACATACTTGAGTGTATGCTGACATACAAAATCCAGAGGATATTATAAGAAGTTTCACGGGAAAGTTTCATGTGGGAGAACACCTATTGCCCTAAATTATAGTAAAAGATTTTTCGACTTTTAAATGAAAAATGTTCCCCCATATAATAGATTTAAGAATGATTTGAGGCAAAGGAGAATAAGCAAGACAGGAATTATCTATCCATGAATGTTTCTTCCTTTTTAACAATAAGAGTGAAAGTATACTCCCATGGTGGGGAGGGAGAAGGGGCATCACCAGAAGCAGGAAAGTGTCTTGTTTTGTCATTTAAATTTATTTTAATTTTGCTCTCTACTCCGTAATAAGTACGTTTATTTTATGTGAAATGTATGTATGCCCAAGAAGAATTTTTGAGTAAAATCGATACTCCAGAAAAACTACGCCATGTTTGTCAGGTAGCTTAAAATTTCCCTTGGCACTTCAGTATAGGAAGCTTAACCTCATTTTGTAAACATGTTATAGACATGCGTAGTCTAAATCATGGTTATCAGTGTTATCTTTAAAAACAAGGGCAATAAAGTGTGAATGAAAAATATCAGTTTGACCGCCCACATATACAAATTACTCATTCTTTTATATTCAGACCACATAGTTTTCCTTGTTTTTGTTAAGAAAAGCATAAAAAGCCAAGAGATAATATAGGGAGGTTATTAGAGAAAATTAAGACTCTGAATATGCACTATCTATTGAGTCCAACAAACGTTAAGGTAGACTCTCACACTCTGTTTTTATTTGACTTGTAAACTTTAAGTAAAATAGATTTAGTTACTTCGGGTAGCTGAAATTGGGAAAAATACATTTATTTTTATTTTTTTTTAAGTAGATATACAAAAAGAGGTTTTATAAGTCTCAGTGTATATAAAAAGAAAATTATTTATTTTATGGTCTTCATCACAGCCTGTACTTTGTTGATGATACTGAATTAATATGTAATTCAGGTAGGTTTGGGAAGGAAAAAACAAAAGAGTAAGGAATTAGCACTCTGAATTTAAAAAGATATAGAAATATTCAATCAGCCAACAAGCATTTATGTGAACATTTTGCTACATTCAAAGAAAAAAAGGATAATATTAGAAGGAAATAAGCTTTATTATTAAATTTGGGTTGTTATTGAGATAGAGTGGTGTCTATTCTTCAAATTCTTTGTATGAATTTCTACACATGCAAGAAAAGAGATTTCTGTTATACAGACACGTATACAAATACTGGTTTCTGCCTTCTATGGCCTAATGGCTTCCACTGATTTTGATTTCTACTCACTGTTTTCCTGTATCTTGGCTTCAGCCTCTCCCTCATATTGCCCCCACCCCAGGAACTTTATAGATCTCTGTAGTTCAGACTCCCAAGAGAGGTTCTAATTTTTTTAGTTCGGCAGTCCTTCCACACCAGACCACTTGATAGGCTGTTGGTCAGCCTGTTTATGGGCTGGACTTACGGTCAGAGTATAGTCTGCTGTGACCGGGTAGCAGGCTCATGTGGTGTAAATAGAGGGGTGCGTGTAGTAGGAACCCTTTTTGAATGAGGATAACCACTGTAGCCATTTTGTAGCCTCTCCAATACAATATTTTAAACATATTTCTTATAAATTCCTGGTATATTTTTCATACGTATATCCATCTGAAGCATGGTGACTTCATGTCATTAAAATTAGCTAAGGAGGGCTGCCACTCCTCAGTTAAAATAAAGTGAAAAGCAAAAGGTTTTAGAAGGACTTTACTTTCTCCAGGGACTAGAAGTATTGCCTTTACATCTGCTAAAAGCCAAGGAATATACTAGCTTTGTTTTGTCTTTATATGCTGTTGAGTATGAAGTGGTTTGGAACAGTTATTAGATTCCACAATTTTCCTATATAATTATTTACCTCCCATCATTTAAAGAATACCTGAAGCTATTGATTGTAGAGTCAATATTTTGAAAGATAAGTTGTTATCATATGGACAATTAAAACAGA